TGTGTTAAATTTGCATTTGGAACGGCCCGTTCCAGTTGCAAAATTAACACATAACATGTGCAAGTAGAACGGGTCGTTCTGGTTTCAGAACGGGTCGTTCTGGTTTCAGAACGGGTCGTTCTGGTTCAAGATGCATTAAAGAAATTTGGCATCCACCTATGCATTTACTTGGCATCCCGACTCCCCCCTTTCGCGCTAAGCCAGCAAATATATTAAGCCACGCAACTCTTTAAGTGACGCGCCCAGCGCGCTATGATACGCACCGAGCGCATGACGAAGGCGCGCCTGGCGCGTGATTGGGCACGCCCAGCGCGATGTTAATCTTCCCAGCACTCCTGTATCCAATGCGCTGAGCGAGATGGGATATGGGCTCAGCGCGGGTCTTTTGAAAATGCCAGCTAGCTTCACTGGAGTTCAATCGAACTTCTTCTCTTTGACATGGCTTCTTCCCACATGATTACCTATCCAAAAAAATCACAAAAAATGAGGATTAAATTTGTATAACCCTGTATGTGTAACCAAAGTGTCTTTACTTACAAAAGAGAAGTTAAATTGAGGATTACATAAGTCGAAAGTTAAAAAAGAGTTGAATGTGTTAACAAATTTGGTAATAAAATGTAAGTAAAAATTTACATTATCAGCGAGATCATCGGGAATCAGTTGTGATTCACTTAAATGCCGAGCTGATGTCATGCGGTGCGCGTCCGAGGTCGGCTTGCATTGTGGTGCTGAGCTCGGAGCTCGGCTTCGCGGTACTGATAGTACACTTATATTTTATTATTTTAATATGTGTAATATGTAGGATATATTTTGATTTAATGACTAAAATTTATATTAAATTAATATTTTTGAATATATAAATTATATTTTTATTAAAAAATATAAAAAGTTAATATTTTTATCATATAATTTATATTTTAAATTTATGATAAATAATCAATTCATCAACTCATATCAACCCTTATCATATTAGATACGAACACTATAAGTGAGTTTTTCTTTTATGAAAGAATTTTTAAGAATCTTTATAGCTTTTTATTAAATTTAGTTTTTATTTATTATAATTATTTATGAATTAAATTTTAATATTTATAAAATAAATTATAAATAAATAAATGAAAATAATCCTATGTTACGATATATATTATTTATCATAAATTTAAAAACACTAAAACATTTAGTATGTGTATTAGTGTATATATCCATTAAATGCAAATAGTTATCTTACATAAAAATAAAATAAATAAATTAGAAACTATATTTTGATAGAAGCACTTGTTGAGATTCTTATACTTTTTTATCCAATTCAATTTTTTATTTATCATATTTCTTTATAAAATATATTTAATATTTTAAAAGATATTCTCAACAATTAAAAATATCCTTATAACATAATATGAATTATTTATCTTAAATTTAAAATATAATTTATATGTTTAAAATATTTATATGATATAGTCAAGGTTATTTTTAATCATTGATAGTTATTTAAAAAAAATAATTAAATTTTAATTAAAAAATAAGAATAAAAAAATCATAATTTTTTCTCAAAATACTCTTATTGAAAAAAAAAGACAAATAAAATACACTTGTTGAACAAAAATCCTAAAAACATTTTTTTTCAATATCAATATTTATATATTAGATATAAACAATTATCTTACGTATCTTTAGGAATTATTATTCTACAAAAGCATTTACATCTTATTTATTTACGAATGAAATATTAATATTTTTAAATATATTCTCAATAATTAAAAATAATATTGTATCACAATATAAATTATTTATAAATTTAAAATATAATTTGTATGTATTAAATTTTTTATTTACTAGAATA